AATCTAAGGAAATGAAGTTATAATTAAATGACATCAACATTAGCTATATTTAATATTATGAATAAACATTGAGATATACGTAAACAATTTTCTTTGAAAAACGTCTGAATAATATTTTCTATTTTACGATAAAATGGAAAATAGTTCAAATATAAATATTGATACTGTGAGAACTAAATTCATCCCAATTTTCTTTAATAAAAAAAAACTGCGTACAATGTGTCGTCAATTCTGCACTTACAATGAACTATTTAAAAATAGACTCTAGATCCTTGTACACACTATTTACGAATAAGCCAAACTAATTTTTAGAACTATAATTCATTGGTTTAAATAGCCAAAATCCTTGGAAACGTTTCTCATTATCAGGTGAAAATTTTCTTAAATTAGATCATACTTAGTATTATTTAAATAGAATCTTGTTACATTGAAAAAAAAAATATCTACCTGTAATAAAGAAAAAATCAAGTATGTAAATAGAAAGAAACTATGGTAGTTATGAAGACACTAATAGTACATAGATATAAAGTAATACAAGTAATTGACAAGTTACTTGCCAAATGGCGATTTCTAGCAACAGATATGATTATTAGTTTGAAAAATTTGCCAATTAATTAGTGAAATAAACTATGGTAATCATGGAGATATCTCTCATATCTCGTACATTCAAAGCGATACATGTACAAAAATACCTCGCATTGTGCGGTTTATATCAGCGTGGTTTCATTATAGTACGGTTTGAAAATTTCAAAACAAACTAAATTTGATAGATCTATTTTTATGTTTAAATGTTTCCAATTAGTTTCAAACAGTGCGGTATATTGGCTGTACAGATTAACCGCACTATGCGGTATCAAAGATATTAAAAATAATACTTGCCCAATTTCATAGATTTTAAAATATTTTTTTGTCGAATCAAGACGTTTAATGTAGCCAATAATAGAAGAAGATTATGTAATAATAAACAATAGAAATTATAATTTACATATTGCGTTTTTTTTAGGTATCATAAACTTTATAATTACAACACTTCGAAGAGGCTTCTGGGTCGTGAAAAAAAATAAATCGATTAAAACGTTATGTAAATCAGCACAAAATACAAGAATCATAAATCGACTTTAAGAGACAATTAACGTACACTACTTTCGCGCTTTGCGATCCGGACCACCGTTTGAACTTGCAGAGCGCTATTTTTAGTAAACATACGTGCTTAAAATTGATGAATATAATTCTACAATAGATTTAAGTACTCTATTAAATCCAATTACGCGGATTCATGGCTCCACGTGTCTGAACAATAAACATCCACATTTTATGATGGGATTTGCTCGGTTTTATTTTATTTCCAATTTTTTCCCCATCTTCTTCTCTGTCTCACTCTTCTTTTCTTATTTTTTCTTCTTCTACTACTTCTTTTTCGGCGTACTTTTCCCCACTGTGGATTTATTTTCTTTGGCCCAGGTCCGTTACATAAGCCAACGACAACGTGTTATTCTTTTTCGCGTATAATTCTTCGTTCTCGACGATTTAGAAAAATAAATCGTCTCTTAAGCGCCGCTTCCAGTTTTAAACAAATTCTGAATTTTATATGTATATCTTTTATGTGTGTGTGTATAAATCGAGGATCCTCGGATTGTTTTGTATGAAAAATATACATGAGGCGACGTTATTAATTGACAGTGAATAAAATTAATGATTTGTATCGACGAAAGACCTCAGAATACATTTATAGATTTCTTCTATTATTTTTATTTAATGTCATAATTATTAATCAAATTATGAATTTCTCTATTTCTCATTGACATATTTAAGTGAAAATTTAGAAAATGTATTTATATTGAAATAAAATTAATGTTAAAGCCATACCTCGATTAACTTAACCTCTGATAACGAAGTCCGTAATTGTCCTAAAACAATTTAGCGAAAAAGAAGTCAGTAAGAAATGGTGAAATGCAAAATATGGCCAAAAAGTTGAGTTACAAGAAGAAAATAAGATTTAAGATATTACAAAAAAAGTTTTTCAGGTGGCTCAATCAATAGGTTTAGAAAATGACGTTGAAGAATGGTAGGATGTTAGGATGGTAGAATTTTATTAAATACAGAAGATGGTGGTTTTTCAGTTGAAAATTTAGAAAATTTTGTAGCAATGAAGACAAAGAAAATCAAGACGTAATTAAAGCAAAAAAAAATGTTAACTAGCAAAGGTTTAAAAGGAGATAATACTGAAAATGTCTTATTTTTTTTAGTAAAAATTATGAAAATTTTAAAGAAATGTTAGTATTTTCACCTTTGAAAACTAAGTTTCGTTTAACGAAGAGATTTCGTTAAATACTCCAAATATAACAACATTTCAAAATATATTTTCAGTATGAAATGTCGTAATTAAATGAAAGTTTGAACATATTTACAACGTTTCTGAAATCGAAGTTTCGCTTAACGAAGTAATTTTGTAGAGCGTATACCCTTCGTTAATCGAGGTATGGCCGTATATATGGTTGTCTTTGATTATTTCGAACTAATTAAAAACATCCAATTATACCCATAAAATAATTTATAAATGCTTTAATTTAAACAATGTTTCCAAAAAATAATTATATTTTCAATATGAAAAGCATATTTTCAATTTCAACAATATTTCCAAAAATAATTATATTTTCAGTATGAAATGTCTCAAGTGAATCAAAATTTCGCTTAACGAAGTAATTTTGTGAAGCGTATCCTACTCGTTAATCGAGGTATGACTGTATTTGCTTATAAACATAGTATATTCTTTAATTATTTGTTGGTTGTATTAATTAAAACAACCAATTATTACTTTATAAATAAAATTACCAAACTTATCAAATAATTGATAAATACTTTAATTTTAACAAAATTTCCAAAAAAGTAATTATATTTTCACTATGAAATGTTCCAATTGAATGAACGTTTGAAAATATTTTCAATAAAGCAAATTAGCTCTCCATATAAATTGAAAATTTGGTCGCGTATGCAAATTTTATAATCCATTTGATGTCCGTTCGAACAATGCATAATATTTATTTTGTCGGAAATAAATTGCGAATTTGCATTTTAATTATTTGACGTTTTCATTATTTTCAAATAAAACTCATGTATTTATGTGCGCGTACGTGCAGACAAATTACCCAATTAATGTAATTAATATTAATTCATGTACGGATTGAACTGCAATCGCTCAGCCATTTCAATTATAATAATTTGAATGATCCGAAAGCTGTAAATACTTATGTACAGTTTTAATTGTGGACGAAAAGCAAATTTCAATTAACAATTATGGAGTAAATCGTGTAGTCTCTTACATATGTAATGTGAAATTACATTAATTTTAACGTCGTGTGTTTAGTAATTAAGTTTTTTTGTTGATTTAACTGCAGATCCAATTAAGTTACTGTAATTAATGAAAGCTTTAATGATTTACGTCCGAGCTGTATGTAAATTTTAATTGTGGACGAAACTAATGAATGTAATTGGAATAAAATCGTGTAATTTTTATAATTTTTATGATAAAATTGGGACAAAATTAATTAGATTTTTACTAAAAAAAATAATTATAAACGTATGTATCTACTACCATATGTGGTTTTAATATTTTATTAAGATTTAAGAATATATCAAATAAGAATAGAGAAATACCTCATATAGTGCGGATAACCGATTTCTGCAGAAATGTTTTAATGTTCGGAATTGAGGACTTTAAAATTAAATTTACAAACCGGACTATAGCGAATCCAGACTGATCGAATCAGCACTAAGCGAGGTATTGCTGTATATCCAAATAAAGTAAATTATTTGACGTACACGTCGTGTACTGTTTACCTAGAATAACATGTTACAAGGAAATATTTATGATATTTCGTAATTTTGTAAGACGAATATAATGAAATTGAATATATTGGAAAAACTTAGTAATTATATTAACCGTACTAGTCGAGGACTTTTAAATGAAATTTTCAAACCGACTATGTGAATCCGCAAATAGAATGTAAGTAATTTGATTTATACTTCCTGTACTACTTACCAAGTACATTTTACAAAAAAATATTTATGATGTTTGGAAATTATGTAAGTCGAAAAAACTTTCGTGGATTCAATAAATTTCTATAAAGTTCCAAAAACTTAATAATTAATTAATTAAAATACATATGATAGAAATGCATACAAACTATGTTATATTTTATCTGCATTATATTACTTATTATTTGTTAAACATGAAATTTGAAAATATTTAGTACATTTCATACTAAAATTGACGTACAATTGATTGCTATGATTAGAAAAAGGCCGCCAGATTTAAAACTAGTCAGTTTTAAAAATAGCCTGTAACCTAGCTAGTTTAGTATTCGAAATGCTAAATTGAAAACGTCAATTAAACATTGTAAGGATTGAAAAAAAAAAATAATTAGTGTATAAAGTTATAAAGTATTGTTAATTACATTAACATTTATGAGGAAATTTTTAAATTTGTTAAAAAATAAGAAGTATTACATAATTACAGTTATTGAAATAAAACAAATAATCTTTGTATCTTTATAAAATTTATATTTTTACGTAATATTACGATCTAATACTATAATTTTCGTATTGTCTTTTGTAAAATATAATTTATGTAATCTATTTTTCGAATTACAATAAAATCTTTAATACAATAATTATGTAATTACATACATTATTATGGATAAAAAATTATGATATAAAAATATTGGTTGGAAGAAAAATGTATGTAAAAGATTTCAATTTGTAAAAGGTACGTATTGTTGTTGGAAATAACGGTATATATTGGAATGAATGTAAATTTAACTTTAAGAAAAGATTATGTTCATAAAATATCAGATATTCATTAATAATAGAAGAACGATCATAAAGATGCGAGTGTTTAATTTGCGATGCAGTGATTTATGTTTCGATGAGGATTACCACTGTTTAGCCATGTTTGTACAGAATCATATTTATTGCATTTTTTTCATATTTCTTGTATGTAGGTTCTGATTCAAGATTACAAAGATGATTAAACGATCCGATAAATTATCAGGCATTAGGCGTCTGCGGTTCGCGTATTTCCATCCATCCTTCTCACTCTCTCTCATTCTTGTATTTATTTATTTTTGACTCGGTGTGTTTCGTAAAGCGTGTATATTTAGATTCGAATTTATTTAAAAGACAAACACGAGGAAGGAAAAGCAAAAGAAAAACAAGAATCGGAAATCTTGTTTGTCTGCGTGCACTTCTCGCCGTTGTATATACCTGCCGATGAGGAAAAAAAATAAACCACGCGAAGTGCACCCAAAGCTAATTCCTCTTCTTGTCTGTACGGTATTTCGGGTGAGGATGTGCGAGGCCGACCGGCGTCGCGACGCCAAACGGCGGCGACGTTTAACATCTCGCAGCACTTTTGGCCACCTGGCGTTCGGAGCGTCGGTACGCGCCATAACAATCTTGAATCTATAAAGTGTCGGGTCGCGGTACCAATTGTACTTTTGCTGGACACAATAAGGTCTTCTCGCAAAAACGTGATCATTTGGTAACCGAAAAGTAGGTGTAACAAACGCAAGCATAGTTTTATTGCAGACGTCGTTGGATGCACGCAGGTCGGGACGTCGAGTTATGTGCGTGCAAGTTGTAAATTGTATTATTAAAGTGTTGTGTACGTTGTTTTTCGAGTATCTAAAATAAACGCGAGCTGAAATACACTCTCCGATCCCGCCTGGATTTTTGGTGGTATTGTTCCGATGGTAATGATACCGCTCTGCTGACTATCACATGCCAAGTTGTCCGTCCGTCCGTCTAGCCAAATATAATTTACGGAAGTGTACACGTGCTGGCCGATGTGTTTTCACGGACGTTTCCTGCGATCCGGAGAATTCCATCACTAGCTGCATCGAATCAGCATGAACCGGCTTTGACGGCTGCTAGATTCAAAGTAATCGTTTTGGTAGGATGAGCAAGAAGAGAGAGCTGATGGCGAAGACCAGGCATTCCAGTTTAGAGATGACCGATCCTGAAGTTGTCGTCAAAGAGAAAAAGAAACAGGACATGCTCTCGAAGGCCAAGAATAAACTGTACAACTTCGGCGATGCCATCACCAAATCCAATAAGTACATAGACGAAAACAGTCAGAAGAAGTCCAGGACGCAGGCGACTCTCGATTATTTTTTCAAGTCGTGCCCAAACAAACCGGACAAGAACCAGATTTACTCGAATAACAGAGTTAACGCGCAAAACGGAAGCCTGAAGCGTGCCGCCTCCTTGCAAAAACAGCACTCCGTCGGTTCGTATCCCATCAAGTTGGATCTTCCCGAAGAGAAAATTTATAACTCCTCAACCATTTCCCGTCTTCGACCTGCTACTATCTGCGTGGATAAGGTTAACGGTGAGCCAAGAGAAACTGCTGCTTTAGCTCTAGAAAGACCTAGGAAGAAGCTGTCCTTCAGAGAACCGGAGATCATGGGATACGCGATGCAAGTTAATAGCAGAGACAGGCGGATGAGGAACGTGATGACGCCGGAAATGAAGAGGAGCTCGAGCGTTACCAATGGTGATGTGCGGCGCGTGCCCAGCGTCGATTTAGAAGACGTCGATCTGGAGGTATAAATTAGGTTTTATACAAATAACAAAAAATAACGGTTTTAATACTGTAATTTTCAATACAAAATATAATTAAAACAACTAAAAATTATGCTTTTAGTTTTTATTTATTATTTATGGAGCTACAAAAATATATTCCAAATAAAATCAATGAAATGACAGTTGAAATCTGTAAAACATATAAGTTATATAATTTCATTAAGATCATTTCTTAAGGAAATATGATTTAAAAAAAACATGAAATGTCCACTGAATTATTACTTAAACTTGTTTTTATTCTAGATATAAAATTGTCTAAATTAACAAATACTCTTTCATTGTCTACTGAATTTAGTTTTAATAGTTTTCAGAATTTCAAATATCCGAACTAGACATCGATCTGATATTATTTCTTACTTTTCTTATAATATGTCAGTGTCTATTTTTGATTTAATGTTAAAATGAGTACGATTTTAAATTTTTACATAATAAATACTAAAAAAGTATAACAAAAACCGGTTTACAAATTAAAACCGTTTTTTTTTTGGAAATCGATTTGCTTAATATACATTGTATTATTGTTAGTGTAGGCCCGATTATTTGGATGGTCCACGATTTCAACATTTTGATAAATCGCCAGGCATCATTAAAACGGCCAATAAATTCGCAATAAATTCTCGAATTAAAACTTTAAAGAAATAGATAGAAATTCGGCGAATCGCTTTTATAGCACACTAATAACGTTTACTCTTCTTTCTTTCGCCTTTTTTTTATTTACACAAGGGAAAACTTATGGAAAATTTATCGACGCTTTGTTATGTTCTCTAAACGCTTTCAATATAAACTTGTCTCTGTTTGTTGCCTCAATACATTTAGTTTTATTATTGTTATTGTTAAACACTTCTCCATAATCATTATGTTTTACTGTTAATTTTTAAACATAACTTAAATTTGTAATTAATTATATATACAAAAATCAACCGTTAATATTAACAGTATTTTCATCGTAGAAGAAAAACAACATATCATAACTTACAAAAAAAATCAATTAATTACATGAAAATTCTTATATAAAATATTTAGACGGTTTTCTTGCATTGCATTGTTTCTAACAATAATTATAAAATCTAATAATTATCTCATTAACAAAATAAATTATATGGAAAATTGTCGATTTCTTTTAAAGAAATTGAAATAATCTTAAATATATTTGTTGTTATTACAAATATTAATGTTTACTTCACTATACGTGATTATCAATGACTTGATAATTGCTTTCCTCTGTATTTCTGTGTATACATTTTGATTAATTGAAATTGTTAACACAGGAAAATATATAAGTTAATTACTTGATTGCTGATGACAATGTAAACTTGAAATTTTGGCTAACATTCGAAAATATTCATAAACACGTATTCTTCTCTGAATTGTAAAAGTATGGGCCAATTTTGATTACACTTTTGGATTGAGCTCAACGCTGGTAAGAATAACCTATTTTCCTGCAAGTGACAGAAAGAAACTGATAATATATTGTACAAATTCTCTGTACAAATTACTACAATTTCATACAAATTCTATAAAAAAAACTATTATTGTTAAATACATTTTTTTAAATAACATATTTAATTATTGAAACTTTTTAATTAATTAATTTAAATTTGTTTAAACTAAATGTAATAAAATTACATAAATATTTAAACTGAAATAAAAGTTTTGACGTTAAAAAATCCATCATCAATCATTTAAGGCAAAACAAATAAATGTACATATACACATCATTCGCATTACCTGTTGCGATTTGTTTGATGTGATGAATGTTTATTATTTAATAAAAAGTGAAATAAATGGTGCGTAAAATATGATAAATAAACCTCTGTGAAATATGTTTTATAAAATGCTTTTATTTCACTATTTCATATACATTTTATATATATTTTTTTTTCAGAGCCAAGCTATGCGTGTGGTACGCACCGTTGGGCAAGCATTCGAAGTGTGCCATAAACTATCAATTACCGCTCCTGAACATGAAAACTTAGATTACGACGACCAGGACACTCTCACCCAGGATTTAGCGAGCGACCGGTTCAGTGACATCACAAGTGATAGGCCTAAAAAAGGTACAGTTTAACTCTAGTTTATCTATTGGTTAATTATATCTTACAGTTAACTTTAATAAATGAAACTTATCATCTGGTAGATGAGTTTTTAATCTTCGTTGATTAATCTCATTATAAATTCTTTAATTTAACAAATGGTATTCTCAGATTATTTTAAATATTTAATAAATGAAAAAAATACGTTATTGATGATTTCAAGTAGATTTATCTTTTACCTAATAATTGCAAGTATCAAGATTATTATGATTTATATAATGCCAAGTTCAAATTGGAATTCAATACGCAAATGTTAAGTTTATTAGATTATTTCATCTACAGTTATACCTCTCATAGTGCGGATAATTGGTTTTATATACGGGACTATTTGAAAAAGGACTAATCAACGAACTAAATACTCCCAAAAATAAATCATTTGACGTACTAATATTTTAGAATTTAGTTTGTTTGAAATTTTGAAATTCGGACTGATCGAAGCCGTCCTATCTTTAAAGCACTATTGCGTTTTTAACTTACATCGAATTGAAAGTAAGTAAATTACATGCAGTAAATTACAGTTTTTATGTATTTTTTCCGAACAGTATAAAAACTCTATGAAAATGAAGTAATTTATAGTATTGAAAATACGTTTATGTGAACCTATATTATGTCATCAGTTTGTTTTCATTAAACTAGAAATGATCAAATTTACAAACAAATATATAATATATTCTTGTGAGTATGAAAAAACTCTTTGAAATTTAACCTAATTTCTAAATTTTTCATATTTTAGTTTTCAATGTGAGAACTATGTGCATTAGAATTACATAATTCAACTTTGCACATAAATATGATATAATCATTATCATATTTTCAATGTAATTCATGTTTACAAAATGTTATAATAATCTTGAAAATTACTTATTTTTATAGTATAATAATATATTATGATTCCTACTTATGAAGAAATGAATCTATAATTGGATGTTAGATGGTTATGTGATGATTATTTGCATGTGATGATCAATGTATTAATTATCTGGTGTAACATTCTGTATCAGAATTAAGTTGATTTTCTACTAATTATCAGACTCAAAGTTTCTATAACATTGGACAATTGTTATAAATTCATGATTACATTATTTTTTAATATTGAAGACATTTCATAAACATTTAAATAATTTAATGACATAATTGAGTTTATATAAAATTGATTTTAAATAACAATTGAATTTTCAAAAGATACTATAATATATTTTTTGAAGATTTTTCATAAATATTTACTTATGTTGATCATTTAATGTTTCAATTATGTTCAGTTTTAAATAATTATAAGATAAATTCAATAATCCATTAAATTTTTTTTCTAAAAATTGTTATAAATTTATGTTTAAATAATTCTGTAATATCTTTTTTTAACATTGAAGATATTTCTTCTATGATTTGTAGTTAAGCATTTATTTTTGTTGGTGCAAAATATTATGATTCTTTGACTATTTATAAAGAGGTTGTAACTAGGTTTTGATGATAGGTGGTTATGCGAACCGGATGCGTTTGTTTGTGTGCGTATGTGCGGTGGATTCGAGTTTGGTGTTGGGCAAGTGCAGGGCCGGCCCAGATTCGTAGAAGTTGTTGGTGAGGTCCGGAGATTGGATGATGTTAGGAATAATTAAAACGAAAAACTAACATATATGTATTATATATGAGGGATACGCGTGGTGCTGCTGCTTTCTACTGATGCTGGGTGTCGTCGAACTCCTGATTTCGATGCCTATTCCGCAACGCACACGTTATTCTTAGTTGCGTGCTGACGTCAATGGTGCACTCAAATACGATATGTTGGGAAACGGTAACATTACAGCCCCTCTTGCAAAATGATTTTATTTTTACATGGCCGCACACATCTACACACACATTTTCAGTCAAAACGGAAAGATTAATCATTTTGAGTTCGGGTGATAGCTTAAATTGTCCTCTTTCGAGCTGACATTTTACAATTTTCGATGCAATTCCTGCAATTAGAGCATTCCTCTTCAAACAAAGTCCATTCATCTAAAGAAATTTGTTTCGGCTATTTTTACCGATGGTCGGACAGAAATAAATGGACGCATCGTTTAATTCAACAGAGTGATACATTCGTTTGGTCACAATAACAAGTCGCGTGGAGTCAATGGATTTCAATGAGTAAGAAGCACAACCACTTTGGAGTTGAGCAACAATGTGATAAAAAAAAAGATGAAGCTTTTTTTTTATCTAAATATATTGAAGATAGGTCATGGAAATTGAATCATTTGGAAATATAGTACACTTGGTTCTCTTTTTATGCGGTAGATACGTTCCACAGGAAAACGCATAAAAATAAATCGCACAAAAAGGACTAGACACACGTATAAAAATAAAGGATACGTTCCATATTTTTTTAAAATCGTATAAAACTAAATCAATGAGTTACAATATACCGAAAATCGCATAAAAAAGGGTTTATTAAATTTCCGAAAAATAATTAGTTTTACTATAATCTTTCTGAAATGTTTATTCATAATTTTATAAAAACGTTAAAAATCATGGACAAGTTTATTAAATTTCAGAAAAATATAATGTTAACATAATCCTTCTAAATTTATACGGAAAAATTTTACAAAAGAAAATACAGAATTTTTTTATGAAAGTTAATCTTTCTTCACATTTTTTTTCTTTAAAATTATCGTCACTATATGAAAGTGTTCGGCATAATTTGCGAACTGGTTCGTAAACACTTTCATCACTAGAAGAGATAGTCAGCATATCAGATCTATGTCCTGAAGATAATGATTCTTCACAAGTAAAATTAGTCTCAACTTTGCATGTTGATTTTTTCCGTTTAACAATATAATCAGTGATTAAACTTTTCGATGGTTTTCCTATTTTCTTGTACAATTCCTGATATCCAGAAATGCAATTCTGAAGCTCGCGTTGATGCTGGTTCAGAATTATCATCTTTTTCGATAAAATGGTTTACCAATTTGTGTCAAAACGTGTTAAAATGGCCTAAAATAGTTATTTAAAAAAAATGCTCCTTGAAATAAAAACCGCATAACTTCAAAACCGCATAAAAAGAGGACTAGGTACAAATAGTGACATTTCTTGTTTGTATCATATAAAACATTATTTTTCTATCAATTTCATAAAAAAATATATTTCTCAAAATACAAACTATTAATTATATTTGTAACTATTTTTTAACAATTGATCTTTTTTCATTTGTGATTTAATCAAAATATTGTCTAAATCCAAGAAATGTTTCTCTTCCTATTTATAACTGATAATTGAAGCTTCTCAAATAACTTTATTTCTTAGTAATAATAGAAACAGACTTAAGCAAATGGAAATCATTGTGGAAAATTTTAAGAAAATTATCATTATCTTATATATAAGAAAAAATAAATTTTACAAACATTTTTTTATACCTGTGATTATAAGTAATTATTAATTTTATCAAAGAAATCATTATAATTACTCTTTTTATGAAAATTCCAGCAATCATTCATTTTTTATAATTCATTACATACAAATTGTTATCAAAAAGTAGAGATGATTGACTGTTCATAGTACGACCACAATCATTCATTGAAATAATTATGGTATTACTAATCTAAGTGATATTGATTATAAAAACACATTTAACTTGAAATTGTAGTTTCAATAGTTTTAAGTAAAACATTTGACATTTTTAATTAGTGTGTTCTTTTTTAATGACAATACTAAAAATAGGCGGAAAGAAAAAAAAATAGGTTTTAAGCCAAAAATAAATTAATTTACAATATTTTAATTGCTCAATATTCTCATTAAACAATTTGGGATAATTTACCCTGGTTTGCCGACTCCTGAACCAGACACAAGTACTAGTATACTAGAAACTAATGATAATGCCTATTTTTAGGAGATTGTTCATTCATTGAAAGGTTCTATACGAATGACAGTTTTCGATGGGTATAATAATAACAGACTGGTCACCGATTTTCGTATGAGCAAATAAAAAAAAAAGAGAAAATCCGTACTGACGTCCGTCGGAAACCGAGCACTCCAGTTTAAGAGATGATCAATTCCGTTGTGACCGTGAAGTGAAAGAAACGAACATTTAATAATTAGAAACTATTTTTAACAATATTCTTTGGTGACGCCTTCCCCTGCCAGTCACAACCTTGCTGAAAAAGAAAACACACATACGA